CGTAGCATAAGCATAAACCTGTCCCATGAGAAGCAGTATATGCACACCTGCGGCAGTGCACGCCTTTGAACCTTGGTGAGCCGCCAGCGAAAAGGTGTAAACAGCAGGGCGTTTGCCGACCTGATAGGCGCACGTGCCCTAAATGGGACTATGCGCCTGCCGTCTAATTGGCCCGGCGAGGCAATCGCAGACCAGCACTTCGCAAGCCAAACAAAAACAAAGCGCTTCGCATGCGCGGAAATATGCAGCCGTCCAACTCCACAACGTGCAGTACCATTGGCAGTCGTTCACCCTCCAGAAGAGCCACAGCAAACAGCGACTTCACGGTTCTGTCTCCTACACAAAAACAAACAGAACGACCTGTGAGAATAAAAGGAGAAGCATGGCTCTTACAAGCAATCAAACCAAAACAGACGTATGGCCAATGGCTTTCAGTTTCAATGGCGCATACTGCGACCTATGCCCAAATGATCTGAGCGTATGGCATTCGAATCCTCAGGGAGCCTTCTCCACGCACAAAGTCGTTCTATCTCCACGCAGTACTAAATGTGGATCATATGACACGAACATGCAATACTTGCAAGCTCTGCTCAACGGTTCGACGTACGCGCTGCCAGAAGTCGCAGCCAAACTTGCCGCCCATGCGCTGACGCCGTACCGCAGCAAACAAATCCCCCAAAGTCTCAAGGTAACAACAAGCCGTTCTACGCGCTCGCCTCTGCAGTCACCAAAATAATACACAAAAAATGTAAAGCTGACACACGCACCGCGACAGCACAAACACACGATGGAGTATGTCGAAGCCTCTTCGCCGCAATGCGCACACCTTCATCCCGGCATAGAAAGCCTTTCCACAGGTGCACAAGACAATGCTCAAGAGCGCGTCGTGACGGTAAGGACTGCCAACCTGTCCACAGCCACCCAGTCCGCCGGCGTCGATAAAAAGAAAGCTTGCAGCTCATTCATTTCGTTCCTTGCCAGCATCAGAATTCCACCAGAAATCTACATGCTTCTCTGCCACGTGACACATACTGTCTGCAGAGTGAGACAGAATGCCATGTGCGAACAG